TGACACATAACTGGATATTTGTCAAGAAACTCGGCTTATATCGCTGCATATTTCAGACCATCCTTTTTTCAAATTTTCTCTTGCAACGGCCATCCTTCACGACACCTAAATTTATCATTTTCCAGTCACCTTACATTTTGAATAAAAGATGAATTCTTTATTATTTAAAAAATCTATCCACAAAACGAGACTATGGGAATGAGTTTCAACCAGAAAATGCTTTAATTAGGCATGATACAAAACCTCTCGTTGTAGGGAGAGATTAGCACTCTTCTTGAAAAGATGAACAGAAACTTGTCTTACCTTGTACTAACGACTTCGTTGACACTCACACATCTTCCCGAGATCTTAGAAAGCGCAAGTTGCTTTCCAGCTTGAAAGGCTCCCCCTGGTGTTACACAATGGTCTTTACACATGGACTCAAAACTGAAACCTGCACATATTCTGAATACGTCTTGAGACATCTGTTTAAACGGACCTGATGTTCGACTTTCCTTGATGAACTTTGCTGTCTTATGTTTGAAATATTCTTCATTTGTATCGTCCCAGATTATAGGACTTGCTTCTGGCCAGATCTTGAAGCCCTCATATCCTCCTGATAAGAGAAAAAAGAATGTAAATAGCACATTCCAAAATACGAGATGCTCTGAAACTGAGCGAAACTTGGTTTATGTCAGTTTCAAATATTTGGTTTAGGTCCTACACTCACGGAGCTTCCAGTTTCCCACCATTCCATTTAAGCTAAAAATTTACCACCCAATTTGTGCTGAAACTGCAACATACCTAAAAGATTATTTGCAATAACACTGTGCCTTTAACAACTACTTGCTTTAACATTCCTTCAATCTTAGCAACCTTCAGCCGCCTTGGCTCCCAAATATCTCTGAATTTGGGCACCATAGTCTCAACAGGACAAGCTAAAGATACACATGCGTCACTTGCAAAACTTTTATGCCACTTAATTCATTATCAGGTATCCCCTGCGTGCTCAGCGAAGATTATGTCTAACTTTAATATATACACTTAGCACACTTCTAAAGTAAAGTTTCTGAGCGTGCGATCACTTGAATACCTTAACTGTCCAGCAGAACTAACCCTAACTCAACGAGTAACACACCTTTGCCCAGCGATACAGTCATGTGACACTGGTGAGCGGGTACCCTATTTCATTTGATCATAACATGAATGTCCAATATCAAGTTAAACACAATTTGTATACGCCTTGGACTTTAAAGGTAGTAAGACATTTCACCTCCGTTATAATGAAGGGGCGGACGTGCAGACGGACGCGGGAGCTCCGCTAAAATGAAATCAATTATGACGTATTTAAACTTTTGCTAACGCGGGGAGTTCTTACTTTGTTTACTATGAGGCTTGTACGTACTCTTTGTCCCTTCAAGTGTAAATAAAACGTCTTCAACTCGTTTATCTATTCCTTAATACTGAATTAAAGACAAAACTAATACGGCAAAAACTCTCAGTGCTGAACTTAAAGGGAACAGAACAAGTTTGAGTAAAATGTATGTCACAACTTAACCCACCGTCCTCAGTTTCTTCTCCAGAAAGTCTTTAATTTTTCACTGCAATTCGCACAAAGTTTGTCCCTACCGTACCAGTCATTCCAGCCAAATAGTTATTCACAAGTCCCGCCACACCATTACCAAACACAACAAGCTGCACGCTTTTGTCATACCAACGGTTTACGAAGTTTCCCGAATGTAGCTCTAACATGGCTTCGTTAGCTTTTCGGGGAGAAGTATCAGGGTCGAGCGCCACAACGAAAAGAGCGTCACGGAGCAGTGAAAGATTATCAACATTTCGTTGACTGAGGCACTTGAGACGCTGTTCTTCTTGACATCTCTCAGATGGAGTCAGGCTTGTGAGAAAAGCTATTGGAGTCGATGGTTCTCTTGACGCGTCCATTTCTACGATGGTTTCGAATTTCTTCTGGAACCAAATATAAAAGTGTTTCAGTATAGCAAGCGCGCAGGTAAAGAAAGGAAGTAATCGTCAATTACATTTGCTCGATGTTTTTTGCCTTATCTGATTGCTACAGAAACTTCTTCTTTAAAAACACGCTTTCGATTGACCTGCGCGAATCCAAACCTCTTATTTCATTGGTCCCTATAACTCGCACTACCTATTGTTTTCAGGGATAGGGGCATTGTTATGTCACCATCCCTATTGTTTTCCCTATTGCAATTTTTTTTAAATATATCTCTTTCATCTTCTTGAAAAAGCAAAGTCAAAAAATAAAATAAAATAAAATAAACCATCATTATTTTTTTATTTTTTTTATTTATTTTTTTCTTTCTTTATTGACAACAAATCAAAAACATTAATACACAGCAGAAAGTAAAAGAACAAATAAGTAAACAAATATGTCAGTAAGTAACAAAACAAATTACAATAAAAATGAAAAGTATTGGAAAAAGAAAAAAAACACCTGTCAGTTGCCACGCATATTTAATATTGTTTGCCACAATTTTCAATGCGATATTGTTCAAAAGATGAATGATGAATGATATGGATTCATCCCCCTGAATTGGGTGTCAATTTACAAACCAATTGAAAAATGGGGAGAGATTACTCTAAATTGACCTCAGTTTGTAAACATTTTTGTTCAGCTTTTTAAAATCAATTAGCTATTAAACCCCAGGCAGCTTGGTTTAAGAGTAATTATTTTTGATTGTTAAACTTGAATTATTCTTTCCTCCTATACGTTTGGCAGTGGATATTTTTTAAACTTACTGTGCAGCAAAAGTTCCAACTTTTATCAACTTACTTTCAGCTGGCTTTTTGTGATAATCTCTTCTCGTCCTTCGTCGTCGTTGTGAATCAAATCCAGTTCATACATATTACCTCGTATCATTACAATAATGTGTCTCGAATTGATTTCAGGAGCTTTGTAACGCTCAATGGATCCTGGGAAGAATTGCATAGAACAGGAAAAGACATAGTTATACCACTGCATCGACAGTGCTGTTGTTTTCATCACATCTTGGGTAAATTCAGTGCTTCTATACAAATCTCTGGCTTTCATGAGTCCGTCTATTAGAGAACTAGCTCGTTCAATCATAATGTCTCCGCAATCTTGCATAGAAACTGCTTGTGAACTGATGTCCTCACCAATGCCCCCGTCTACGGATGTCCCAGGATGCTTTGGGCTCCCTCGGATAAGCACTGCATATGACGTCACAGGTTGTGAAGGGATGATGTCCTCGTGGAAGTATATTTCATCATGGCGAATTCCAAATGTGTCTCCATGATTTGAGGGAGCATACCAGCAGTTGTTTATGGGGTCATCGCAGTGCCTTTTGAGTAGTCTGAAAAAATCCAATGACATTAACTGTTTTAGAGTAGTGTTTTCTGTTTTTCTGTCTATTTGTTTGTTTGTTTGTTTTGGTTTCCGAGATAATTACTCATCGAGCCAATGCTGCTCTTCAAATGTACCAAGAAAATGATTAGGGTTAGGTTAAAGAATTAAGAGTAGGATACAGTTAGATGCTGCAAGTAGTTTTGCGTTTACACTGCGTTGAGTGCTCTATTGCAACGCTTTGCTGTTAGCTTCCACGTAACTTTTTTAAAACCAGTAATGGTTTTTTGTATAAAATATTCTCCCTCTAATAAAGTATTTCTCTTGTTTTTTTTTTCAAATGTCATCAAATCTCCTAAATAAAATAACTGTGTGGAAGTTAGATTAAGAGTGCAATCCTTGCTTTGACGCGTTTTGACACTTCTCTGAAATGACTACAAATTTCCTTAGCTTGGTTTTCAGAAAATCGGGTACTTAGGGATGAACCATTTTATTATTATTTTTTTTTTTGGGGGTGTGGGGGTCAGCAATTACCCGAAAAAAATTCCTGCACAGCAAAAGAAGAGAAAAAATCATGCACAGTGGGCAAAGGAAGAAAACCTCGAGTATTAGCCTTTCTACTCGTAGGATCCCCAGTGTTAGACCAAATGAAAAAATAATCTGTAATTTTTGTCATAACTTAATTTCAACCCACAAAAATGCTGTGTAATTATTTGTATAATAATTCACCTTTTTGTCTTTCATATCATGAATATCATAAATACATCATTTCCATCTGTCTCTTGTATTAGAACATAAATTTGAACCATTTCACTGAGTCTGGTATAACATAAAATTCATGTCATGAAAATACCATTTTCCATTTCTTTTATTAAACTGATAACTTTCAGCTATTTTCAACATATCTGATATCTATTAATTGTATAAACGATAATTATTAATAATGTTTATACAGTCTTAAAAGTATACAACATAAAGGGCAAATGGTAGAGTCGGTTGTAACCCATAAACACTATCTAACCAGCGCTTTATCAAGGGTGTTTGAGGGTTAGAAGCTTCCCTCCAAAAAAATGCACAGCTTCCCCCGAAAAATTATATTGTTATCATTACAGTTTATAAGTAACTATAACGGAAAAATCATCCACACGCGACAAGGTCAGTGCACTCACTGTGACATTTCTCAAAATGCACCAGATTGCATCTTAGCGCATATTCATTTCATGCCCCCGGACCCCCCTAGGAACCTCGTAGTCTTCGACCACTCGGGACTTCTCTCCAAAACGATAAACCCTAGATAGAACCCTGCTAACGGTTGGTGTGTGGAATAGACTGTCAAAATTCACACAAAGAAGACAACAAAATAGTGTCTGATAGAGCCCACTATAAACTATTTCAAGGATTTGTAAGTAAAACCATTCTATCATTCTATTATGATAGAGTGAACAAGACCTTTCCTTTTAACGAATCACTTTAAAATATGTAGTTGTGTTTTTTTATTATTTACTATTTTGTTTATTTACTATCGATGTAATTCTACTTACTTTATTCATGTTCTCACATGTAATTTAATCAGTCATTGTAACGGTGCTTTTGATCTATTTCGAGAAAGCGCTATAATGAATTGACATTTAGTGCGGTCCTGAAATAAGTGTCTTATATTTTCTTCCAAAACCAACCTCTGTTAGGCGGACGCTTCTATTAAGCGGAATTTTCCATTTATTTTTGTAACCCAACATGTAACACTGAATAGACTAACTACAGCTTGTATCAGCCTGGAGAGAAAGCAGTGCTTGAGGTACATGTATCATTTTCTGTTCCATACTTGTATAGGCTTACCTCATGAAATGCTCATTTTTGGTGATATTTTAATAAATATGAAGACTGAAAACCGAAGAAAAAAAACAACCTTAACCCATTCGCCCCTGAGCCGCCCTGAACCGCCCGTGCGGATCCACTTCGTTTCTACCGCTTGTGAGGTTATCAGTTTTAATGGTCAAGGATAACTTATATGTCCGCTAACTTGTGCAGAGTGGAGAGATCTTTTAAACCATACCAACCATGAACCATACCAATTCAGTCAAGGACACCAGAGAAAAAGGCAAAAAATCATGTAACAGTGACCCGAAAATTGCCATGAAAATCTTGTTCCACTACCCACCTACCGTTCCTTTACTCTAATCCTAAGATACTAAAAACTTTCCTAAAACCTCTCCCACCAAAATGAAGCCTACTAAATGCCCAGCAAGAGAAAAAAAAGGGCCAGAAAAACGAAAAAAGAGAGGGGGGGGGAGGAAAAACGAAAAGTAAAAGTCAGGACTGCTGTGTCACTTTTAAACCCTGCGCGTGCCCGAACTTTGCAAGCTGATATTTTGCATCTGGATCAGAAGGTTGTGAAGTGTACAACCTGTAAACGGCTTTGTGGTACGTTTTAGCTCTTTATAGCACGACAATGACCAGAAAACCCCTCTACTAGCTTCAAAACGCGTTTTTCAGCAAAATCTCCAGGGGCGAATGGGTTAAGGTGCTAAAAAAAAATCCTGGCACAGCCCAAAGACGAAAAAAAAATTCTTAGCAAGACAAAATTGTCTAACCCTCCCTCCACCCCCTCTCAAAAATGGTCCACCCCTATGCAGTGTTATGTATTATTTTTCACTTGTTCTCGCTCTTTCATACCTTTTATGGGCATCACGTAGTCCTAAAACCCGACAGGCTGAATGCACAAAAAGATTGTTCAAACCATTCTGGACACTTGTCGCGCAGGGGGGCAATCTCCGTCTAACCAAATGCTCCACCAAGCTCCTTAGTGGGGGAGGGTCGGGAATTGGCAACTTTTCATCCCACAGGAGTACTCTAGTTTGCAAGGTTGTAAGGTCGAAAGAGTTCTGCAAAATATCGATGAGAGCGTCAAGTTCTAGCCGACCTGACATGGTATAAAAATAGAAGTCAACAACGTGTTGTTTAAATTGTCAGATTTTTTTAAACCAAGAGTTTAAACCTATTTCAGAAAACAAACTATGCTACAATTTCTAGCAAAAAATCCTTTTCCTGACGGTTCATAACTTTTAAAATTAAGTTTGGAGTTTCGCAATTAAAGGGAGATGAAGAGGTCATTGTGTATGGAAGAGAAAAAAATATTGCACTTCAATCCCGATTGTTGTTTGACAATAAAAAATTAAAGTAAGGTAATCGCTCACCTACGCACATCTTGATTCTTCTACAATCTTTTTCTCGGATGCATATTTTGTTTTTGTCGCTGTGAACAGAAGTGGAGAACAGAAATTCTTTTCCTGTAATGCGCTCCTACAAAGGCGATGACGCCACAAGCGATACATCGTTATAGAGACTCTCTAGCATTACCCTCTCGCTTCTTTAGTTTTTCTGTTTCAAAAATAGCAATGACCTTTCGTGGAAAAGAAAAGTGGCAAGCGAAGCGGAACTAGGATTTTGTATGATCTAATCAATCACGGCATTCCCTTTTTTACATTAGATGCGCTTTGAGTGGGCTGGGCTGCTGACGTCAAAGTGGAATTAAGCAATGTGTCATAATCCAAATTTTGTTCCTTTTTTCGTGGAAAAACCGTTGCTGGGGACATTTCGCTGACCTGTAAAATAACTCATTCCTAAACCAGCCGTGAGCAAATAGAGCTTTCATGATGCCTCTAAGCAAGACGAACATAGCCGTGGTTTTTCTCGTAGGTTTCGTCAATTATGTGGAATGGGCCATTGTAATGACTTCAATATACCCGTATATTCTTTTGGTAAGTAGTCACTGACATTTCTACGTCTGTAAAAATAATTACAAATGCAACTGAATTGTGGAGGATCAATATTGTAAATGAAATGGATTAATTAATAGCGATCAGAAACTGGAAGCTGTTTCACGCGCTTAAAATCACGCTTTCTTTTGGACAGGTCAGTTGCAGTTAATTCAATTTTGCCTTGAGAAAATTTGAAATACGTAGAAAATAAGATCAGCAATGTCCTGGTATCTTCGCGCTCATAATCAAAAGCGCAAAAAAGGCGATTCAAAACCATAAGCAACTCGCATATAAGCAAAAAAAATTAGTAGCACAGGTTCCTTAGCATTACTCATATCCTCTAAACCGACTCTCGTTTTTAGCAACTGGGAAATATTCAGTTGTCGTGAATGGCAAAGGCAAGGCAAGTGTGGGCGACAGGGCGAACATGACAGTTTATGGAGTACAAAGAAGAGGTAGGAATTGAAAATAAGCAGCGGATGCTCTTGTTATTGGCGGAGCTCTCGCGCCCGAGGCGCGCGCAGCGGAGCACCATGGGTGAGAAAATGTGGTAGTCTAAACTCATCCGAGATAATTTGTTAATCAGATGACCGTACGCCCGACCGTCCGTCCGCGTCAGAGGCATACCAATGTAAAATAACTCAATCAACAGGTATGGCAGCCCAAATGCAACTCGAGGTTATTTTGGCGGGAAATCGCATAGCCGCCGGCGTCTTGTAGCAGAGGCAACTAGGGTCAATAAAAAGACGAAAGCGGAAATCGTTTCTGTATCCGTGTTTTTTTTCTGATCCCCCCTTTTGTTCTCCTAAAAATCAAGTGATCCTATCAATCACGCTGCCTGCTGTCGTTGATATTCTGGGAAACTGCCCACCTACCCCTCCCCTAAAGCAACATCAACACTTACTTCTCACTTAGGGCAAGATGTTGGCTCAGGGGAGGGGTAGGTGGGCAGTTTCTTAAAAACGTATAATGATCAGATATTGTTGTCGTTAGTGACCTGTAAATTCGAGGACAAGAACAACTACCACTACAGGGACGACAGGAAAAGGGTGAAAGAAGGGAATGACTTGACATAAGGGGAAAAAGAACAGAAATCATGAATATACACTCTGATTTTTACTTTTCGATTGATAGGGTACGCTACGCATATTTCCTCACGGACAACATCAACCATCACTGGCCCAGGTAAGGTATAAAAGAAGCAGGTTTGAACTCTACAAATGTGTGATTCTTATAAGAGGGAAACTCCCGAGCTTTTCGAAGCCATATCCTCAAAGCAAGAAATGATTACAGGGTCCCTTTCTCGAGTCGTACTCAGTCAGTATCGTACTCAGTCGTACTCATGCAGTCGTACGTCAGTCGTACTCAGTCGTATCGTATACGGAGAGTAAACAAAGTTATGTATAACGATGCTCACGACGATCCCCACCCCACGTTTCTTTACGATTCTGTTTCATTAAAACAAAATCTCTAAAATTCCGTCTTGAATATCAACACAAATTCTTCGATATCCACACAAATTCTGCAATTCAATGACTAGAATCACGTTTTGAAAGTGAATTTTGCGTATAAGATATGTAGATACTTAAAACACAAATTTGGCACCAGAAACCAAAGGAACCCTGACGAAATCGCCTCTTAAATCTGTTAGAGCAACACAGTAAAAACCCGCATATAAGAACCTACAAGCTGAAATGTGGCATTTAAATACCCAATTTAGCGTGGCAAAGAAAAATAGGTTCTTATCCCAAAAAAATCACTCCAATTTTGATGGTCAAAATTCTGGATTTTAATTGTGTGAGAAACTTCTGACAAGAAGCTATTGTGTCCATGTTTTCTTTGATTTACATTTGTTTGGATTTTCACTAGAAATATGTTTTCCATAAACCATTGTGTCTTCGTAGTACAATAATTCTGCCAACGGTTACACTACGACAACCTCTGAAAAATAAGAACTTATTAAGAATGAACCTAATCAGCCTGAATTGTGTAAAGCTACCGCAAAATGTAAGAACCTGTTCAGCCTGACCTTGAAAATTCTAGATTCTTGTGTGCGGGCTTATGCTGTATTTCAATATTTCAGCGGTCGTATTTAACTAATTTCTAACCCTTTTTTCAGGACAAGCGCTTAAACACATTCCATCTTATGTGCTTAGCCAAGTTGTTGAGAGTCTCAACCTCCCCAGTCCACTAGGAAATGACTGGAAGGGTGTTGCCGGAGAGATGTTGCTACCATACAAGACTGTGATGAGCTTAGATCATCACAGCTCTGAAGGCAGAATGCGTGGCATTCTACAAATTATGTTCGAGAAGAAATTTACAGCGGGCGACTTTGTAGATCTTTTACAGAAAATACAAAGACCTGATATTATCGAAATTTTCATTGAAGCGGGATTCCCAAGGAACAGTATCCGTGAAAAAGAAAATGGTGAGCAGTACTTTTAAGAAATTGGAATGCAGTGAGCCACATAACGCACCCTACAACTGTTTGCTGTTTCTTCTTTTCAGATTTCTTTGCGTTATGATGAACGTAATAGGCATTATTTTTACGTATAAGTAAAGCAATTTCATTGGAAGGTTGGCACTATGAACCTGACGAAGTCCAGTTTAATCCAAGTTGAAATGTTGGCGTGATCAGGAGTGTCTTTTCATAACGCGCACAGTTTTCTCCCCAAAAAAGGTTTACTGTCTTCTGAATGCAATGTAAACAATGATTTAGACAAGCTTTCATTCAGTGTTTCACCTCTTTTTAGATGAAGAGGATTCCCAGAGCTCCTTACAAGTCAACAAGTCATGCGATAACAAGAAGGCTAGTGGAGACAACATCCATGAAGAATGCGAAATAAGTAATGGTGCAGTTTGTCAACATTATCCGTGAAGAAGCGTTATCTATATAAGATTCCCACATCCTTGAACGTTTTTTTTTCCATTTCTTTAGTCCTATCTTTTTGGTGTTGACTTGGCAACTTTGTAGTTATTAAACGTTATTTTATACTTTGTTGTATTTAACTCCCATGACCGACTACAGAAACGCCATTTTCAGAGAGCTGTTAACGAAATGATTTTCAATTCATAATGCAACCCATAATAAATCTGAAGCCTGGTGTTGTTTTTCAGAGAACGACTGTTTCAGCGTCACAGATATTTTTGTCACCTTTAACAAACAAATGACACAAATGTTAAGAAGTTATTACAGGTTCCCTAAGCTCACGAGTGACAATCGTTGCCGGAATCGTCAGTTGCGCAACATAAATATAATTATAAGGGTGAGTTTGTATGGAGATTTAAGGTGGCTGAACACAGTTTTGGCAGTTTGTGAATGTACGTCATTTGCCAAATCATAGCAAGAGAAAGGTAGCAGCTCACAAGCTGAAACTTGGCAAGTGAAAAATATACTAATGAAAGATTTTGAGTGACAGGTAAAATTTGATGTTTTCGTAGTTTCCATGGCAACATGAACGATTGAATACAACCTTAAAATTTCACTTTTGCTCAGTTTACATAGTATTCGCTCATTAGATTTTCCTATAAACTTGCACAAAGCTTACTATAATTAATCATTACCATTTGAAACTTATTTGATCAAATTTTAACAGAGGGGTTTTTAGATAATCAATAATATAATTGTACTGCAATTATTACATGTGTCACAAAATTCGTCTGTTCAACTTTCATTTTAAAGTTCTCATTATTTAGAATCCAATAAAAACAAAAATTCTGCCAAATATCAAAAAATTTTAATGAGTAGATTTTGAGAAATCGTCTTCTGTGTACCATTGCTTTTTCGCCGCCATGTTTGTTTGTCTAATTAAAAACACGCGCCGTCACGCGAGTTACCGCTGACCGCCCGCAAAACTGTGTTCAGCCACCTTAAGCGATTGTTATTTAGGGGTCAAAATAGTAATAAAAGTACATTAGAATTTTTTACCTTGTCTCCATGTCTAAATTTATGGTGTTTTCTTAGCATTTTTGGCGTTTCTGGGCGATTCCTTAGCGAGTTTTAGTTCTACTGCTGGAGAATTATATAATTATTTATAAAATAACTAAGATAGTACGCGCGCTCTGATTGACCGAGAGGAGTGTTTGCATGAGAGTATGTAAACATGGTTGTGACGTCAAGATGTTTTGCTTTTCGCGCGCTAATCACGCAAGCACGAATTTGAAAAAGTTTTCGAGTTCAAAACTCAAAAAGTTTACTTTATTTACCCATTCCTTCGTCGGCTGAAACTTGGAACATCTTTACAAACAAGCTGTGTCAATTTTGTTTTCGCTTAACCCGACATTTTAAGCGAAAAAAATCCGTATTTTGGTAAGCATCTTTTTGCAAAACAAGAACTGATTACGCGTGCAAGCCTTCGTGTACACGACTTTGCCACTGGTAAGAATTTATCTTTTAATCAGTGCCATAACAAAAAATTTTGCGTTTTTCTCGGGAAAGTTATTTTATAAAAGCAATAGAAAACGTTTTTCCTATCTTTGCATACCCTGATATAAACACGAGAGGCGTTGGGAGAATTCGAGACGTTTATGCAAACCTGAGACGAAGTCGGGGGTTTGCATAACTGTCGAGAATTCTCCCAACCCCTCTCGTGTTTATATCAGGCTGTGCAAACACGGAAAATATTTTCTATTGCTTAAATAACGAAAAATGGCAGAACTAAGGGCCTGTTTACATGGTGGTGGGGGACCCCAGGTAGGTGATGTAACCCGCTTAGGTGGGGTAACCCGCCTGTCCATTTAATTTCTCATTTTACTTAGATCACGTTTACATGATAGGTGGGGTGACCCGCCTAGGCGGGTAGCCCGGTCTGCCAGACCGGGTAACCCTCTCAGCCGGGGTCAAATTTTGCCATGTAAACGTTTCAAGGTGGGGTAACCCGCTTAGCCGGGGTCGGATTTGGAAAACATCAAATTCGAGCAAAATTCATTTTGGCGGTGGCTTTGCATCATTATTAAAGATAGCAATAGAAAGCCACAGCACTGAAGGTTGCAGCAAGAGCAGCACGTGAGTGTAGAAGAGCATTAATCGCCAAAACACGAGGTTTGCCAGCATTTTTCTTGTTTACGTGCTTAGCGATCATTCAATAATCTTGAAAATGTACACCCAGGGTAGCGGGGTTGTAAGATTACATGTAAAGGAGGGTTATTTTTTTACCCCACCTAAGCGGGATACCTCATCTACCTGGGGTCCTCCACTTCCATGTAAACAGACCCTAAAACTCGCCGGAATTGCCCTGAAACGACCAAAAATGTTAAGAAAACACCACAAATTTAGACAAGGTAAGAAATTCTAGTTTATTTTTATTGCTATTTTGACCCCTAAATAACGATCTCTTAAATCTCTATATAAACTCTTATGACATTTCTGTTACGCAACAACGATTCTCACTCGTGAGCTTGGGTACCTGTGAGGTTATCTGCCTTTCATTATTCACTTGGTTATCCTGTTTTAATGCAAGGTTTTTTAGTTTTTTTAGTAAATTATCAATTTTAATTTTCACATTGTACAGTGCCCTATTGAAACCAATTAGTGACTTAAGCCATTTCTTGATAAAGGACTCTATCATTAATATTATTGTTATTATTATTATTATTATTATTATTATTATTGATTTTAATATTATAATCGTAATTATTTTAATCATTATTGTTATGGTGCATGCTTCACACTGCAGGTGTGTTAATTCTGGAAATTTCAGTCCCATCACCAGGTCGCAACAAGCCGCCTCCAAGGATCCTCGGAGGATCTTTGCTGATAGCCTGTTCCAGGCGTTCGGATAGTGGAGTGCGGCCCGAAGGAAGAGAGCGAGAAAAAAATAAGGAGGAAAAGACGGAGAGAGGGGGCAACGCGTTCCTTCGCTCTCACCCCTCCCCCACCCCCTCGGCGGTTTTTTTTTCTTCTTCTCACATCTCTTTGTGGTGTCCCACGATCTGAACGCCTTGAACAGACTACTTTGCTGATCCCAGAAACACTGTTCTTTGAATTAAGTGCGGCCAACTCTATTTCAGCATTTATGTTTCTAAGGTACTCTTGCATTCTCTTCGGAATAGTACCCAGTGCTCAGATAATATTTGGGACAACTTTTACACTCTCCATCTTCCACAACTCTCATTATCGTTCTAAAAACATAAATTCAGTGTCCTTATGTTGTTTCTCGTTCACAGTGATTTCTTCGGAATGCGATACCAGAATCACTTTGACAGCGCAGGCCAAAGGGATCGGAGCCGCTGGGAACGAGAATTACAATTTCTTTCTTTTTTTTATTATTATTATCAATAAATTATGCTTTATTTTTTGCTTTATTTTTTGGGCAGTGCGTTTAGTAGTATGGAAAAGGTAATCTCCGACGCACCTAATGAAATTAATGAATATTATTATTTTTCTCCAGAAACATACACTGATGAAAATGATTGTTTAACTCCTAATAAATTAAGTGGAGCATATTCAGAATTTAAGAGTTTTATTAAATCAAATAAAATCCCAGAATATGCAAGAGTGTAACATGAATGTATTATGTAAAATAAAATAAAATTGTTTTTATCGTCTTCTAATATAAACATAATATTAGAAGACGTCATGTCTAACCAAACAGTTGATGGTTTTCAGGGTTCTCAACCCTTTATAACAGATAAACAATTCCAGAATCTATCACTGGATGAAATAAAACATATATTAGAACAAGAAAAAGAAGAACTTAAAAAAGATTATAAAGAATTAGCATCAAGAAGAAAATTAATAAATCAGTATAAAAAATTGGTAGAAGCCAGACAAAAAGTAAAAAGTGGAATTGATATAAAAAAGAATCTAAAAAAGAAACTAAAAAAAGATAAAAAAGTTTTTGACATTCCTGGAAAATTAACAATAACGAGAAAAATAAATAAAAAAAAGATAAAAACATTTGATGAGTATTTTAAGGAATGTATTAAACATAGAGAAATTCCCAAAGATACACCACCTTATTTAAAAGAAGCTTTTGAGCGTGCTATGTTAGAATATGACCAAGGACTAGTAAAAGAAAAATCCTCTCTTGATGATTTTGCTAATAAATATGTTATTGAAGGTATTTTCGGTCTTACTCCAATACAGTATTTTGAGAGAATAGAAAAAACTTTAATAGATTTTTTTACCTATCATAAAAATATAAAATTTAGATTAGTTTTAGTCTGCATAATGGAAAAACAAAATTATGATAAAAAAATTGGTATTACAAGTATAGAAACTGCTAAAGCTTATTTTAGTTCTGAAACACTTAAAAATCTTAGAGCTGATGAATCAATTAAGTTAGTAGAAGAATCTTTTAGATCTATAGAAGAAAAAATACAAACTTTTACAGAAGATGGAAGTGCATTGCTATTTAAGGAAGTTGAACAACTAGAAATTCATACAACTGAATATAACCCAACAAAAGGTTCATCTTATATTGATCTCCCCAAATGGATAAAAGATAAAAAGGCAATTATTAATATAAAAAATAAAGATGATAAATGCTTTCTTTGATGTATACTTAGATATCTTTATCCAAGAGACAGAGATGAAGAAAGAATAGGTGATTTAAAAAAATATGAGTACTCTCTTAATACAAAAGGAATTACTTTTCCAATTAAAGAAAATGATATTAATAAATTTGAGAATCTTAATCCAGATTTACCAGGAATAAATGTCTTTTATTTAGATGAAAAAGATTGTATTCGTCCTGCGAGAGAGATAAAAAAAAATAAAGATTATAAAAATACTATAGATTTATTTTTAATTCAAGAAGATGGAAAATCACATTATACTCTTATAAAAAATTTTCATAGATTAGTAAGATCTCAAAAAACTGGAAGTAATAATGGAAAATTATTTATTTGTAAGAGATGTTTTTGGCATTTCAGTAAAGAAGAATTACTAGATAAACATATTGAATATTGTTCAAATAATAAAACAGCGGTTGCAAAAATGCCAGAACCAAATACATTTTTACATTTCAAAAATTACTACAAACAACTTCCTGTTCCTTTTGTTGTTTATGCGGATTTTGAATGCTTTACAAAACCAATGAATAGTTGCAGTCCTAATCCTAAAGATTCCTATAATTATAACTACCAACTACATGAACCATCAGGATTTTGTTTTTATGTAAAAAGTATAGTACCTGGTATTCATATTACACCAATTACTTATACAAAAACTTCTGAGGATGAAAACATAGCAAAAATATTTGTAGAAAAACTTGAAGAAGTAACAAAAGGAATTTACAATGATTTTTATAAAAGATTTAAACCTTTAAAAATGAGTGCTAAAGATCAAAAGATATTTAATAAAGCAAAAACTTGTCATATTTGTAGTCTTGAATTAAAAGATGATAAAGTACGAGATCATTGTCATTTTACTGGAAAGTATCGTGGTGCAGCACATAACAAATGTAATCTTAAGTGTCGTAAACTAAAAGTATTACCAGTTATATTTCACAATCTTCAAGGATATGATGCTCATCTATTTATAAAACAACTTTATAGATTAAAGGGAGATTTGGAGTGTATACCATCTACAGAAGAAAAATATATTACATTTAATAAAAAAATTAAAGTTGATGAGATTGATAGTAAAGAAATAACTTTTGAAATAAGATTTATAGATTCGTTTAAGTTTCTTCAAACATCACTAGCCAATCTTGTTTCCAATTTATCCCCAAATGATTTTCACAGTACCAAACATGCATTTAAGTCAAATACTTCATTACTAACTCGCAAAGGAGTTTATCCTTATGACTATGTTTCATCACTTAATAAATTATTAGAAACGCAATTACCACCAAAAGAGGAATTCTATTCAAAACTTAATGATGAAGACATAACTGATGATGATTATCAACACGCAATACGCGTGTGGAATACATTTGGATGTAAAACAATAAGAGATTACCACAATCTTTATCTAAAGTCTGATGTATTACTTTTAGCAGATGTATTTGAAAACTTTAGAAAAACTTGTCTCAAACATTACAAACTAGATCCAGCTCATTATTACACATCTCCTGGTCTAGCTTGGGATGCATGTCTTAAAGCAACAGGTCAACATTTACAATTACTAAGCGATTATGATATGTTAATGATGTCTGAGCGTGGCATTCGTGGTGGAATAACTCACATATCAAAAAGATATGCAGAAGCAAATAACAAATATATGAAAAATTATAATCCTGAAAAGGAGTCTAGTTATATTCAATACTTAGATGCAAATAATCTTTACGGTTGGGCAATGTCTCAAAATCTTCCAACTCATGGGTTTAAATGGATGAAAAATATAACATTGGAAAAGGTGGATGAAATTCTAGAGAAAGCAAATCATAGTATGTCAAATCTTGGGAGAAAAGGTTATATATTTGAAGTTGATTTGGAATATCCTACTCACCTATGGGATTCACATAATGATTATCCTCTTGCACCTGAGAAGATGATTGTTAATGGTGTTGAAAAATTAATTTGTCATTTCAAACCAAGAAAAAATTATGTTGTGCATTATAGAAATCTTAGGCAGTATCTTGAGTTGGGTATGAGAATAACTTCTGTTCACAGAGGAATTTCATTTTATCAATCTCCTTGGATGGAACCATATATCAGAAAAAATACTGAACTTCGAAAGACAGCAGCTAACAATTTTGAGAAAGACTTTTTTAAATTAATGAATAACTCAGTTTTTGGCAAAACAATTGAAAACATAAGGAAAAGGCAAAATATACATCTTATTGATAATCGTAAGAAAGCTGTTAAATTATCAAGTCGTCCAAACTTTGATAGATGCACAATATTTGATAAACATCTTATTGCAGTTCACATGAAAAATACTGAAGTGTATTTTAACAAACCAGTGTATGTTGGTCAAGCAATTTTAGATTTATCAAAAACGCTGATGTTTGATTTTAATTATAACTACATTAAAGAGAAGTATGGAAACAAAGCGGAGTTAATGTTTACAGATACGGATAGCCTAATGTTTCAGATTTACACAGATGATTTTTATCTTGATATATGCCCCGATGTAAGAGATAAGTTTGACACTTCAGATTATCCTCCCAATCATAAATCTGGAATACTAACAGGAGTTAACAAAAAAGTAATAGGGACGTTTAAAGATGAAGTAGCAGGAAAACAGATAACACATTTTGTTGGGCTGCGCCCCAAACTTTATAGTTTTAAAATTGAAGAGGATAGGGAAGTAAAAAAGTGTAAAGGAATAAAGAAAAATGTTATAAAAAAGAAATTAGATTTTGATGACTATTTTAAATGTTTATTTTCAGGTGAAAAAGAAATGAGAAAAATGAATATAATAAGAAGTGAAAAGCAGGATATATATTCAAAAGAAGTTAACAAAGTAGCTCTAAGTAATGAAGATGATAAACGCAAAGTACTCTTGGATAAAATAAAAACGATAGCTTTAAGGTAAATAAGTATAAATAATAAATGCCATATACAGAAGAAGAAATAAAAACATATTTAGAAATATTAAATAATTATAACAAACCTATGAAGCAAATTAGTCCAAAATCTAAATGTTTAGGTTGTCCAAATATTGAACATTTTACAATAGATTCAGGCTTCAAAATTTGTGATGAATGTGGAACACTTAACGGTAGCGTTTTAGGATTATTTGATATAAAAGATTTTGATAGACTGCATTATAGAAAAAAGAGTATTTATCATAGAAAATACCATTATGAGAAAAAGGTTAATAAGATTTCTAAATCAATAAATCTTAATGATGATGAAAAATGTGAACTTTACGACAGACTAATAAAAATAGACAATTACATCATGGAAATACTAAACAAGCAATACTTCAGAAAGAGATTAATAAATATTAATTATTTAACCAAAAAACTTTTGGAAGAGATGGGGTGTGAAAAGTATAAACTTATTGATCTTAGGATTAGCCCCCAAACATTAGAGATTTATGATCAGTGGTGGTCAAGTTATAAGAATTTAAAGAATATAAATAAATAATAAAATGAGTAATCGAGTTGTTGATTCACCAGAAATTGAAGCAAAAGAATTGTTTTTACAAGTTCAAGAAGGAGAAAGTTTTTTATTTGAATATTTTTTTGAAAGCTATAGACGACCAGATCACATATCTGAAGAAGATTACATGAAAAAATTAAGGGAAGAGTACTTAAAATTAAAAAGAGAAGAAGCAAGAAGATTGTTAGGATTAGAATAATTTTATATTAAAATTTAATATAAAATTTAATCCTCTAAATAAATATAATCAATATCAAATACTGAATATAAATTTAAGAAAGCTCTATTTTTAAAGTATAAATCTTCTTCTATTTCCATGTCTAAATCTAGATTTTTAAGAGTTTCAAATATAACCTTAATATCTAATTTCCCTTCTTTAATCAATACTTTTAAACTTTCTAAATCTTTCTCATGAGTAGTACAGTCGCGATTACCAAATACTCTCTGGACAAGGTAATTATTAAAAGTATTTGCTGTTTTATTTATTTCCTCAGGAAAAGTTTCTTTAAAAAAATCATCGTTTAAAAATTCATATACTTCTTTTATTAGGTCTTTTCCTAATTTTATACTATCTTTTTTTTTAATAACAAGTTCCATTTTATATAATGATTATATTAATCCAGACCTTTATGAAAAATCCAGTAAAATATTCCAGTGAGATATCCGAGTACTTCACTATTTATCGGGGAATCAAATACATAAACACATCCTCGTCCAAGTTTGTAGTGTTTATGGAAAGATTTAAAAGCTCTAAAAAAACATAAGATGATTATTTAAAATAGGATTATTAGATTTAATAGATCTATTTTCTAATTTGTAAATTATTGTTTCAATATCTATTAATTTCTTAAAAGTAGTTTCGTATAAGAATCTATATATTAGAGATGTTTTTATTAAATTTTCTGAGTAAGGTAAATTGGAATATTGAGGGTAGTAGAAGTTGACGTAATGAACTATTGTGTTTATCATTTATTATAATCAATATATATAAAATTGAATTATTATTTAAAGAATAAAAAGAAAGTATATAATGTTTATGTTAGAGAAATCTTACAAAAATGATGATTTGGGAATTGAGTTTAATTCTTTTATTGATAAAAAATTAAGAATATGGTTTAAAGCGAAAGAGGTAGCTCAAATACTTGGTTATAAAAAAACAGAAAATGCTATAAAAAGGCATGTAAGTGAAAATAATAAAAGAACTCTTCTTTTGAGCTGCCACCCTGAAACAGGGGGTCAGGTAATTAAAGATAAAAAAAGCTGCCACCCTGAAACAGGGGGTCAGGTCCAAGGTAGATGGATTATATTTATCACTGAAGCAGGTTTCTACGAACTTGTTTTTAGATCTAGATTACCTGCTGCAAAAATGTTTCGCGATTGGGTATTTACTAAGGTATTACCTTCAATAAGAAAATATGGCTATTATAAAATAATAGAAAGTAAAAGAAAAAAAAGAGTAATATTTGAAGGAAAAAAATATTATAAACATCCAGTGTTTTCTAATTATGCTGCAAATAAAAATGGAGATATTTTAAGTTTAAAAAATAAAATAATAATTAAAATGATAAATTGTAACGGTTATTTATATTGTAATCTTTGTGACAAAAAACTTTCAAAACCAAAAACTTACTACCAACATCGTTTTGTTTTTGAAGTTTTCAAAGGGGCAATTCCACGATTTTTTGAGATTGATCACATAAACAACCTTAAAACCGATAACCGAATAAAAAATTTACAATTACTTACACATAAACAGAATGTTGAAAAAAGTAAAAATAAACAAATTATTTCTGTAAATATTGAAAAAGGAGAGGAAAGAAGATTTGATTCTATTAAAAAAGCTTCAATTGATTTAGATATTCATATTTCTCATATTTCAAAGATTTGTAGAAAAAAGTGTAAAACAGCAACTTCAAAAAAAGATGGAAAAAAATATACATTCAAGTTTTTAGATTAGTTTCAATATTATTTTAATATTGAAACCAGGATTCTACGAACTTGTTGTTAGATCAAAATTAGAAACTGCTAAAATGTTTAGATAATGGGTTCTATATTTAATAATATTTTATTCTTTAAATCAATTTTTTCTTTTAGCCTCATATTCCTCATATCAATATTACTCTTATTCAACCAACTTTCTAATTCTTTTAAATAATCTTCACATTCTTTGTAAAAATTACTACCAACTGAATTACTTACATAATCTTTATTTAATCTCAAGCAATATTTACAGTAAAGTAATGATTTATCAATAATACATTTATTATCTTCTTCAATTAAATGATCCATTATTTCACAAATTTCTTTTCCTTTTTCAACTAAACTATCTTCCATTTTATATTATTATTTTAATCTTTAAATGATTTTTCAAATTTTTCATTATACCTACTAACAAATCTATCCGCTATAGGAGACTGATCAATTATAATTTCATCTATCAATTTCATTCTATCAACAAACTCTTGTTTGTTCCACTCATCTCCTCTCAGTGCAGATCTAAGTTCAACAAGTACTTTCTCATAAGTAGTGAATGCGATCCTTGACATCTCAATTTTTCTCTTGTAATTATTTTTTTTCCTACTCCAGCAATAATAACTCCAGCACCATTTACAACTCCAAGAACTACAGGGTTTAGTGTTATTCCTCCACTAATGGTACCTATTGCTACCAAACATATTCCAGAGATTGTAAAAAAATTATCAAGAAATTTATAACTCTTATAACATTTCTTAAAACACCAGTATTTCTTATGGTAATGAATATAAAAGTCTTTGAGGGTTTTAACATCTGATTCTGACAGAGATGGGTCTATGTGATTAAATTCAAAGATGTCCTTCATTTATATTTATAGTATATAACTTCCATTTAACTTTTCTTCAAGCATTATTTTATGATATTGTTCAGAGCCGGTGTCGTAAAAGTTTGGTGAAAACATTATTTTACTTAACACTCCACCTTCAGTTGTAAACTCAAACTCTTGTTCATTGGTGTAACGAACGGTTGATAAACTTAATATTGCGCTGTAGTTACTTATTTTAGCTTTTGTAATATTTTGGCTAAAATCTTCTGCCAACCATATAACAATTTTTTTTCCATTAAAACTACTTGGTACGGTAAGTTGATTTCTTAAATTATTAACAACTAATCCTACTTCATTACTTACTTTAGAATAACTTAAATTTAATAAAGTAGCTCCACTATTTGGATCTCTTTTCTTTATACTAAAATTTCTATTTCTCCAAAGATAAAAAACAAAACATAAAGTATATTTTGTAATACCGATAGGAGGAGAAAAATCAATAGTATAACCAGTAACATCTAAGCCTTCTTTTCTTATATCATCTATGGTTCTAAGAGGTATACCAATATCTCTCAAAGTATTACCGCTAGTAGAAGCTAAATTGTTGAAAACAATACCAGATGCGGTTCTACTTAATTTGTAATTAGCGGCATTAGTAAAATCATAAACTTCTTCGAAATATTTTCTGTACAAATTATGAGTAGTAAAAGGATGAATTTCTTTTACCATTCCAACTGTTGCAACACTATTGTTATTGTTTCTATCGAGACTAATGTTTAATATTTTTTTATTATTTAAATTAATATCAACGTTGTATACCACTTCTGTTGGGTGGATGTCAAATGCTGTGTGATAGTCGTAAACTTTATCTGGATCGATATTGCTAAATGTTCCCACAATTCCATAAGTAATTAAATAAACTCCAAGAAACTGTCTCGGATAAACAGCCAAGTCAGTTCCATCTTGTGGTATATTAACCAAAATGTGAAGAAAGAATCTATTTCCAGATGACAACTTCTTAAAATTAACTATTATTCTATGGTAATACATAAATTGTGATTGTCCCTTTGTATCGTTGTACCTATGGGAGAGTTTCCTTACACTAACATTTCCAATTGATAATCCTGTTGAAGTTCCTTTGTCTACACTTATTTGAGACTTATGCCATAATTGATAATCAGTGTTGAGTATTTCAAGACAAAGGGTATAGTCAACATTTGCAGTTAACCTGTAAAAGTTGATTCCCATTTTATACTTGTACCCACCTTGAGAATTTTTGTTTATACCCATAAAAATAACTTTGTGGTTATAATCATGAAAGTTTCCTTTGTCTGGTGCTAAATCTCCTATGCTTTTTATAACAAAACTGGTTCCGGTATCTATTTCTTCAGTCCATTGAGACCCACTAGACATAAGATAAGAAAACTGGTCGTTGTAATGACTTGGTTGAACTGAAGTGTGATGAACTAGTTTGTCAGCGTAATTTTTATTTACCGCATCATTGTCTTGGGTTGGTTTACCAAGATTTATTATTTTATTATTACCAACATTAAGGTTCCCAGTCATAGCGACAGTACCATCTTTTTCCAAATAATCACTTAAATCTGGAGCACCTGTGTTATCATCCA